AGTCATACCAGCTTGTCGTGCTGATTTGCACCCAACATGCACCATTCGTGAATGGGTCAGGGGCACAACCCTTGCCTGGGAGTTTCTTCCTGCCCAAATTTTCACCTTCTGAGCTTTCCCCTTTATGGATTCCCACTTTAGCCCAAAACGGTGGGCCGCTCTTATTGCATCCAAACACCCCTAAAAACTGAGGTATCAGCCTTGGTCCACCCTTTCCAAAAGTGGCCAAAAGCTTTTGGCAAACTGCCATAAGATGATCACGGGAGACTCCAACCAAAAGTGGCTCCAGCTGCCCCCCTCCCTCGGGCAGCGGACCCCTCGGATCGCGAAACGACTCCGAAAACGAGTCTAAGGCCTGCCTGGGGATCGCAACGAGCGGGCGCCGGGCCCCGGCGCCTATGAAGTGCATGACAAGCCCGGGCCCCAGAAACACCTTTGTGTCGCCAGAGTGGCCTCATGATGTTACAATGATCAAGGTCACCCCCTAAGTGGTGGGTTAAAGGGAAACAACCGAATCCATTTGCTGACTTTGAGAACCCCTGCCAAAAAAATGAGCCCTGCCAGAGTGGTGGTGGGTCCGCAGCCGCTGAAATGTCAACTTGTCCCCAGCTGAATGCTTTGGGGCCGAGTGGGTGGCCTGCGGCTGGACTGTCTCTATGGAAAACAGGGGGAAACCCCCGCAGTGTACCTGAGCTCGTCGAGAATGAATGAAAGTAGTTGGTTTGTGTTCCTTTTCGAGGTTGCGAAAGCTTGCTGACATGGCTTTCTTATGTTGCATAGGTTCCAGGAGGTCAACTGTTTCACCTGAAAGCTTTGGGGCCCAGATAGTCCCCCGAGGGTTCCCCTACTAAAATATACTACAGAAAAAAGCGGTACCCTTATTCTAACCTCTCTACTGGAGGACCTAGGAAAGGTTCTGGGATGCCACCTGTTGTTGTTTTTCCCGTGACCGTGAAAGTAAAAGCCCTGGTTCCATGCTTGTCCATCCGCAAGATGTCGTTGTCACAACACGGGCCCTGATAGTGTCAAACCAACCGGGAAGCAACAAATCGCCGCAGGAAAATTAGGATCGTGCTAATCATGTTTGAACCGGGGCACACCGCTCTTAGCGCGGCTTTTTCGCTTGATTTCGTCACGAGTTGGGGTGAGCAGATGGGTGCTCAGCACCACCGCGTTCTCAAGGATTGGTATCGAACTGTTTGTTAGGCCTGCTACACGTGTATGTATCAACCCAAAGGAATGTACCTCGTGTTGCTGCTTGTGTTTTGATTACGGCAAGCTTGCGGCCCCCTCGGCTGCTTCCTCAATTCCTTGTTCCTTTTTGTTTCACAGTGTTTCACTTGGTTCTTCGCTTTCTTCCATGCCCTTCAGCTGTTATGTGGTTTGTGGTTGCCACACTTTCTTGCCCTGCGAGCAAAACCAAGAACGATCAGGAATGTTTATGGGACGAGCGTCGCATTTTGCACGGCCGCTGGTGCTCACCGGATCACACCGCCTGTGTGCTTTTGCCAAGGGGTCAAGCGCTCTCAACTTTTTGCAGACACAAAAACTGCACCCCCGGCTGAGGAAGTCTCAGGTCTCAGGATCTTCCGCAAATCAGATGGGCATGGCTCAAAATTAAACGATCGGAGGGGCAAACCGCAGGTTTCGGTACCCAGGTTTCCACTTGCCGATCGGGCAACCCATTTTGGATTTCCTTTTGTTTTTTGAGCCACGTTGTGTCGCCTGAGGCCGAACCCCGACATGAAGACTCGCAGCACCTACTCCTTTGGAAGGCCTAGTGCGCGAGGCCGCATTGCCGGGGCCCCAGAAAACCCAGAAAATGGTGGCGGGACTTGGCGTTTCAACGCAACGGCGCCCCTTGGCGCGAGTCACTCTTATCGTTGTCCACGTTAAAGAAGCAATTGCTTCATTGGTTTTTGTTTATAGATTGATTCGAGGGCACCGAGCAACCGGCCAAGGACTTCAAGTCAATGAGGATGCTGCAGAGTAGCTCGCTCTGGGGCATCAACTGAGCCTGTTGTGAGCCGAGCCAAAGCGCAGCTGCGCGCGAGCCCTTTTTTGCCAGCGGCCCTTTGCTCAGAAATTTGGATTCGCACCCCGCATGCCCACTGGCTCGCAGATGTTTCTGGTTCAGGCCCGGGCAGCTCAGACTGCACCATCAGGAGGTTGCAAAGAGCCCAGCGCCAAACTGGCCACTCAGGCGGAGACACACTCAAGCCGCTGGGTGTGCTTCACAAACGCTGTATGGGAACCGTCAGTCGAGCCTTGAATAGGACATGCGCGCATTATTGCCATCACAGTCCGGTCATTGGCGTCACTGGCTGTATCAGTTTCACAATGGTCGACCAGACCGACTCACCCAAGCCTGCAGAGCAGGAGTTTCGACTGAGTTGCTGCGAAGGCAGAAAACGAAAACCCTCCTGTCTCATGGGCGCCGGCTGCTTTCTGCTTTCTGAGTGGACAGAATCCGTTCCGTGGAGTCAGCTGACTGCAAGTTGCCTGTGTCAGACCCATGTCCACCCGCCCGAGATGCCTTCCAGTCGGCTTCGTCCGAGGCCTCAACAACCGACGACTCTACTGCCTGAAGGAGCCTGAGCCTTGTGGATCCCATGTCTTGCACACCCCGGAACAAAATGGAAGCGGCACCAACCCTCTACCCAACATGAGAGGTTCCCCAAGAAGAAAAACAACACCATGCTGTCAGCTTCAATGTTGAAAAATATATGTTCATGTTCCTTTGAGCACCCTTTTGGGGCCCGAGAAGCTTGTGGACAGAGCACTACATCCAAGTGAGTCACAATTTCCAGGCGCTACCTCCTTTTCTGCTTGAGCTATGCGCTCTTGTTGGCCCCTTGAACCCAAGCCAAAAAATAAAGCACTCTCAGGTATGGGCGTCGGAGCGGGCGCTCGGTGAAGGTGCATTTGAAGGCGCCTGGATGGGATGGAAGCTGGAGTTATCTCCTGACTGACCGGAATGCCGTGGCATGCTGACAATCCTAGCCTTTGGAACGCCTGCTATGGTTCACCTAGGACTTCACGTACGCCCATCCCAGATGTGTGTTGCCAAACAGCTTGCACAAAGCGGTAGACAGCACCTGTTTCCTCTCCATGTGTCACACAAACAACTCACCCAGTTAGTGGGCGCAGTTTGCACTTTTTTCCTTGGTGGCCCTTTATTTTAGTGGTGGCCCAAAAAGTGTGCACTTGTTTTTGGCTGGTCACTGCCCAAATGAGACAAAGAGAAGCTGCCACATGTTGCCTTTGCTTTGGTTTCATGGACTCCGGACATCCGTTTTTTTTTGCGCTTTCTTGGCACCGTCTTTCCCCCGGGAAAACCGAAAAGCCCAACGCGGAAAGAGCCGAAAACCCGACGCTGAAAGAGCCGTAGGTGCGCGCCCTGGCGCCGGAGCCCGAGATGGTTTCGTCAATGTGAGTTCTTACGATACGCTACGCCTTTTTCTTAACAACTCAGTTGTTCAAAGCCGACCTTTTGACCTTCAAAGCCGACCTTTTGACCTTTTGGTTTTTCATAACTCAGTTGTTCATTTTGGTCCATATTCAGTCATGGCCACAAAAGGTGATCGCCTTTTAGTTCCAGGTCCTTTGGGCAACTGAGATAAAGTTGGATTTCACAAAACCATTGTTCTCATCTATAGCAATCTTCATCACAAGTAGCAACTTCTCTTGACCAGTCAAGACTAAAACCTAAAGAATCAAGTTGCTTCGTCATATCCCCAGTTTCTTGGATTTGGGGGAGGGGATTCGACCCCTGGCGATCTCCATATTTGGTTCTATTTCCCTTTCATGCTGGAAGATGTTGGTCTAGAAAAACATGAGATTGGGGGACCCCCCACTCCCCTCCCCCCTTAAGGTAGGGGGGATCTTTCAGTTCCAAGTGGTGACATCTTGAGATTTTTGTTCGGGATGGTTAGCTTGAGCTGTCGCGGGCTTTGGGTAGCAAGCTGGGACACTGCGACGCACAAGCGAGGCACGACGCTGATGCACTGGTCCCCGAAATCACCAAGGCGGGGCCGCGTTTCCCGGTTTCGCAGAAACGGAAGGGACAGAGATTTGTCGTCTGGCATGATATACGCGTCTAGGTCCCCCACTGTTGCCCTAGGAACCCTTTTTTGGGGGAGGGTTATTTTTGTAAAGTAGACTGCAGAAAAAAAGGGGCACCCTTATTCTAACCTCTCTACTGGAGGACCTAGACATATTGCACAGGCTTGCCACAACCCCCAGGCCCCGCAATCAAGGTTCGTCTTTTGACCACCCCAAGATAGAAGTAACAATTTCGGGGGTTCTTTTTTAGGACACGAACCAGCCCTGGGTTTGAGTCTACGGGTAGTCAAAAAGTGGCGCCCTGACTGACTGCTCCGCCTTGCGGAGGACCAAAACTTGCAGCAGTTTCTGCGGGCTATGACCACTGATGTCGTCGGGAAGGCGGTGCTGACGCTCAGGGGCGACCGCTGACGCAATCGGCGGAAGAGCATCGACTGCGTTGATCGATGGGGTGAACTTGAGTCAGGATATGGACCGCAGGTGTTGAGTTCTTTCATGCACCAGGCCAGCCCAGGCCGGTTATATCCGTATTAAATATATGCATATAAACCCACATGGGCTGGCCTGGTAAATGAAAGAACTAAAGCCTTGTAACAACCACACGTCCGAAATGGCATGCAAATTGCCGAGACCATTTTCCAGCAAGCTGAGGTTTTTGAGGCCAAGAGTTGGCTATCAACATGTTTGTTTCTTTGGCCATGGGATTTTTTGCCTTTGTGTTTTTTGCCATGGGCTATCAACCTTTGTGTTTTGTGCCATTTTGGTGAGTTGCACAAATTTCACCTAAGGTGTTGCAGGCATGTGCGAACATTGTCCCAGAAAAAAAAACGTGATCAAAAACCGTCACGTACGACAAGGCGAAGAGTTGTCAAGATCAGTAGAAGCAGGTGTCCAATCGATGGATGCTGAACGGCTTGGCCGTGTTCGGCCTTCCGAGGGGCGGGCTCAAGCCAGCTTGCCACGGCACCTTAAAACCAATCGGCCATGCTACAACCGCAGTGCTCTCGTAGCCAGGAACTCAGCGCACACATTAGAGATCGCCCAGGTTAGCCACATGATGGGTATGGCAAAGAAGGGTGGCTTAAAATGTATTATTTTTGTTGGCCCAGACTGGTTTTATGCCCGAGTTACCAGGGACACCCATCTATTTCACCAAAAGGTCACGTATGCTGCTGCGATTCTATTGGATGGATTGGTGCCATTGGGCAGGCAGCTAACATGGAATGCCTGACGAGTCTGATTGCACAGGTCACAAAGCCTTCCACCCGGAAGGAACCACGCCTTCCCGAAATTGCTGGTGTGCACTTGCTCCCGGAGGGGCGTGTTTTTGAAAAGCCTCAAATCGAATATGCATGTGCATGCTCGTTAGCTGCATGCTGGCTGTAGGCGAAGTGCTATGATACGGGCCCAGCACTCGGAAATTCAGCAAGCTGCCGGCTTCAAAGCATTCGCTTCAACGGCACTGAACCCGACTGAACCCCAAGGGAGGCTTCCCTTCGTTTGGTGCCAGACGGTGCCATCCCAGTCACCGGGGTTGCCCCAAACAGCTGATTACTTGGTGGCTCCCAGCCATCCGGTTCCGTAGCTTTTTAGCCTTTTAGTGTTTAGTGGTAGTTTCCATTTAGCCCTTTTAGCGGGGGATCTGAGGGCAGACCAGATTGCATGTTCGGGCAGAGGCGAACATGTCTTTGGCCGATCCGTGGTTCAAAGCTGCCACATGTGGCAAGCCCGGGGTGCCAAATCTGTGTGCACTTTGCACTGAGGCAACGATTCTGTATGTTCTCGGCGTGGCAGCAGCTCAAGAGTGTGGGGACCCCCAGGCTGTCCATCGCGTATTGGATCAGCGCATTGATTTCTTTATTCATCTGTTTCAGCCATGGCTTGGCCTTTGGTGGTCCTTATGGCTTGTTAGGTGGTGGATGGTAGAGACTTGACGCTTAAGTGCAAGAGCTCTTGAAGACGTTGCGATAGCTCCGTGTCGTGTCTGTACATGTTTTTGGGGGCATGAGTTCGGGGTCAAGGGTCAGACACACATATAATGTCTATCAGTATGTAAACAGATATATGTAATGTATTTTAGTGCTTTTCGGCGGTACACTAAGATCAAGAAGCAACCTGCCTACTAAGCCGATGACGTGTATTGGTGGCTGCCCTGCTATCGTCGGAACGACGGTTTCTTTTGGCCGCAGAGCCCTGCGGGTCGCTCCATCCGTCCGTCCATGCATCCCGCCGGCATGTTTGACCCTTCTCAAGTATCATCACATAAAGCTCGCAGTGAGTTGTTGTTTTTTGTTTTTCTCCCGCGTGGAGTGCACAGACAAGCCCTTACCATGAACTAGTTGGGGTCAGCCTGCGCAAAGGCAGGGTTGCTAGCTGCCAGCAAATGTTTGGCATTTTGCTAGAACTGCGCTGCAGTGCAAACATCAGAAAGGCAAGACACACGAGGCAGCCGATAGGACGGGGACCCCGTGCAAAGAAACATTTGCAGCAATTTCTTGTCTGAGGACTTCTAGGTCCAGCAGTGCCCTTTCTCACCATTTTTGTTTGGTTGGGAGGATTCCCCTACTAAATTCGACTACCTCTAACCTCAAATTTGGAGGACGTAGACTTCATCCAAGAGCAGCTCTCACCTCTCGTGCCCTGGGTCGGCCAAAGCTGAGGCCCCCGCGGGGCGAAACTGCTGCAGGTGAAGTCGGAACTGGAGACTTGGCAGAGAAATGGTCTCCAGGAAGCGATTCAACCAGCCTGGTGGCTTGTTTGCCTCTTCGTTTGTTTCCAGCAATAATTATTCAGCGGAAAACGGGAGGTTGCTGAGCACGTCCCTCTGGACCCTGCCTGAAGTACCATCAATCCATCAAATTAAAAGAGATGGTGCCTGTGCACGGGAAGCATGCATTCTGGATGCAGGTTTCTTGGCATGGCAAGATATGGCGTCAGCTCCGCATGCTCCGCCCTAAGGAGCTGCACTCCACGACGAAAAGATCAAACCAGACGAGGCCAGCTGCAACGTGTCTGTTTCGGCGACACGTCAAAGCACAAATCTCCGGCAGGCTTAAACCCGGGAGTGTTCAGGAGTTTTCAGGGGACCTCGTCTTTGAGCTCCGGTTTCGCGCGCGGATTTGTGGTGTCACATGTGGCAAGTTTCTTTTCGGGAGGCGGTTTGAAGCGTTTCCTCGCAGCCGTCGCGCGCCAGGAGCCCCTTCAACATCACCATCTCAGATGCCTCGACGACCACCAGCGCCGCTTCGCATGGCTGCGGCTCGGACTCATGGGCGCTCATGGGCTTTGTTGCTGTTTTTCTTGGGGAGTCTTGGGACTCCGGAGCGCGCTGCAAGGAGACTTTCTAGTCAGGTGACATGCTGAGGGAGTTCCAGAAGCATCCCCTTGGTGAATTCGCACAGCCGGGCGATCCCGGGGTGTCTTCCCACGAGCAAGTTTATTGATTCCTCTTTTCATGTCCGTGTTCTACCATTCTCGGGGGGCGGGAGCGTCATTACCAAGCATTCAGGCTGTCCGTCATGCCAGGGGAGCGCAAGCTTGGATGTCCTGAAGACTTCCGAGGAAGGGAGCCGCCATTTTTCTCAGCATGAATGCCCGCTTTAACTAGGAACACCTTAACGCAAACGCGATACTGTGGATGTAGACCGGAGGACAGCACACACATGAGTGAGAACGAGCAAGCGCCAGCTGTGCAGAACAGAGTACGTTTTGTGGGATAAAGAGGGCGCCAAGCAATGTTGGTCAATTATATAGCTTGGTTTTCAAGCTGCGGTTGTGGCAGTCGTGCGGACTGGCTGTGACAGGGCAGCTTGGTTCGGTTGTGGCTGGAATTTCTAAGGTCAAGCAGGCAGCCATTCAGTGGACGGCCACTCGGTTGCAAACAGATCTGTTTTGGCTTTGGTGCATTTTGCCTGGATGTTAGAACTTTAACTTTTTGCCAACTAATGGGTTTTCCATTAAACCAGCAAGAATTAAACTTTTAGCAGGGGAGCAGAAAGCAACCAAGGTTGCTTTGGCCTTCACAAATGGCCATTCTAGCTCAACAATTGGTATGGTTTCCTTGGAATTCTCGCTTGCCCTTCTGTGTCTTTGAGCAACCCCGTTGTAGCGTTTCAAACGCTCTGCGCCCGAGGTGCGTGCCTGGAGAACCAGTGCCTGTGTGCCAATGGTGTGGGATGCTTGGCAAAGCCTGCAATGTGGGAAGCCGAGAGTGGAGGGGAGGGAGGGGAGGGAGGGGAGGGAGGGGAGGGAGGGAGGGAGGGGAGGGAGGGAGGGAGGGGAGGGAGGGAGGGGAGGGAGGGGAGGGAGGGAGGGGAGGGAGGGGAGGGAGGGGAGGGAGGGGAGGGAGGGGAGGGAGGGGAGGGAGGGGAGGGAGGGGAGGGAGGGGAGGGAGGGGAGGGAGGGGAGGGAGGGGGAGGAGAGGGAGGGAGGGGAGGGGGAGGGGAGGGAGGGGAGGGAGGGGAGGGAGGGGGAGGGAGGGGAGGGGGAGGGGGGAGGGAGGGGAGGGGAGGGGAGGGGAGGGGAGGGGAGGGGAGGGGAGGGAGGGGAGGGGAGGGAGGGGAGGGGAGGGGAGGGGAGGGGAGGGGGGGAGGGGAGGGGAGGGTGAGGGGAGGGGAGGGGAGGGGAGGGGGGGGAGGGGAGGGGAGGGGAGGGGAGGGGAGGGGAGGGAGGGGGGGAGGGGGGAGGGGAGGGAGGGGAGGGAGGGAGGGAGGGAGGGGAGGAGGGAGAGGGAGGGAGAGGGAGGGAGAGGGAGGGAGAGGGAGGGAGAGGGAGGGAGAGGGAGAGGGAGGGAGAGGGAGGGGAGGGAGGGGAGGGAAGGGAGGGAGGGGGGAGGAGGGAGCCCCAAGAAACCCTTATTAGGCCCTTACTAATGCCTTATTTAGGGCTTATGTGGGCTCCCCCGCCCCTCCCTCCACCCCAACAAAGAAACACTGCAAACCATCTAAGAGTATGGATCAAAACTAAAGCACCAGGATGTGCGGCGCAGGCTTTGGTCCTTGTGATCCTTGTTTCCAAGTGCCAGGGCAACCTATTTTGGGTACCCGTTGTTTGACCCGCACTATCCCGCACCCATCTCCCGCGCATGAGGGAGGCCAATCAAAATTGAGGGCAGTTTTTCCTGTTGCCGCTAGAGCGACAGCTTTACTCTCCAGCTGTCACTTCAGACCTATTCATCTATCTCAACAAACTATGTTGAGGGGCAACCACTTCAGGCCCATGACGTGCATGTGACACAGTTCTCCATTCCAAGGTAGGTGAGTCGGATGGATGTCCGACTCAAGCTTCCAACTTGGGGTAGCTTGATGCCAAAAAGGCATCCTCCTTTGAACTCCGCAGGTTGCATTTCTTATTGCACGGCTGTTGGGGCATCTCTGAACCAAAAGTTGGGCCTCTGCAAAGATTTGCATCCTTGATGGTTCCCTTTGCAACCCAAGGGCCCAAGGGGATCCCTTTTGACTTGCCTTTTTTATTCCCCAGCTGAACACTTCGGGGTTTCTGCCCAAACAAGGGTCGTTTGTGGCGGCTCCAGCCAGGGTTCTGGGATTCTGGACTGATTCTCATGGTTGGGTAGCAAAATTAAACCACCATGAGCCATATTTGCCCAACCACCAGGATATGGACCGCAGGTTTGAGCCCTGTCCATTTCTTCGGGCAACCCATTTTGGGGATCTGTTTGCACAATGGCTAAGCACAGGACATGAGTAACGCGAAAAGTGCCCCGACTGTAGGAATTTGGCAGCCCCATTTTGGCTCGGTCCCCCAGTAGTGCCCTTTCTCACCCCTTTTTTGGTTGGGAGGCTTCCCCTACTAAAATGGGCTACAGAAAAAAGAAACGGTACCAACTTATTCTAAGCTTTCTACTGGATGTCTCGCAAAGTCAACTTGGGTCCCGGACCCCCCCCCCCCTAGGGGTCCTTTTTGCTTGCTTTGGTAGGAAAGCCTAGTTGCACGTACGCCTTCTTTGCCCACCCCACGCCTTGGACCTCAGGAGCCGTTGGTTCCAGCTGCCCGCACCATGGGGCAATGGCCTGCGAGGTGTGCTTCCAAGGCGGGTTCGCCTCAAAAAGAACAGCGAGGAGCTTCCCAACCATCCGGTCCATTCTTCAGGTCTTAGTTGTTCTTTGGTTGTTTTTAGTTGTTGTTTGGCTGTTTTTTGATGTTGTCAGGTGTTTTTAGTTGTTGTTTGGTTGCGTTTAGTTGTTTGCTGGTTGTTGTTAGTTGTTTTTGGTTGTTTGTTGTTGGTTTTTAGTTGGTTTAGTTCCACCATGTTCCACTAAACCACTAGGTCCCCCATTCTTTCCTCAGATCCTTCGTTTTTTGGGGAAACGGCTGAAAAGTGTTGAAACGAACAATGGCTGAACAGAATGGACAAGGAATCAACCCCTAGACTCTTCCATCATGTTGTTGGCATGTGTTGTTTAGGTGTTTTGGTTCTCTTCATGTTAAGCCAGGGCTGCCAAAACTTCAACCGCGAGAACTAGAGTTTGTTAGTTGCATCAATCAAACCAGAAGCCAAACCTTTGGCGATCTGGGCCCAAAGCTTGAGCCACTTGAGCCACCTCCCGTCCCATCCGGGTAGAAGCTTAAGGGCCAGTAGCCAGAAGAAGGTGGCGGAGATCCGCCGGTTCTGACATGAATTTGGAGATATACCGCTTTTGATAGCGATTGCTTTTGATTGTGACTCAGGCGCTCCTTTAAGGCTGGATGATCGGCACAACGTGGCACTCCCTTCCTGAAATAGGGTCCGACTGTGATTTCAGTGGCAGCAAGGTTCCCACCGGCAAGCACGCACAAGGGCCAACGCAGGGCAAAGGAAGTTTGTTTTCGGGCTGTTGTGTGAGGCTAGTCGTCAATGTTGCTTTTGCATTGGTTGACAGGGTTGTATTGGCAGTCTGCGAATTGTGCCATGGGTGATTAGTGAAGCAAGCAAGGGGGAGGGGAGAAACCTGAAAACAAGTTGGGGGTCAGAGTTGTAAAGTAGTGTCTCAGTAAGTGCTACTTAGTGCTGGTTTAGATTTGGTTCAGTATTCCTTTAAGCTGGCCCGGTACTGTTTAGAATTGTTTAGCATTGGAGTTTACCACTGCTTTGTCCTGGTTTGTGTAAAAATATTCTTTGGGCGCTCTTGCAACCGTGGGCTTTCTTGACTGCGATTCTTGCGACGGAGAGTTTGCCTCGCATCCGAAGCCACGGCAGGCTTCACACAGGAGGCCGGCGAGTGCCTGCAGATCCAGTGCGGGGATGGCCAGCACATGGTGAATGGCACCTGCTACGAGAACCTCTGCTCTTGCTCCAACGGCCTGGCAGCAACGGGAATCTTGGCACGCAACATGCCCAAAACAAGAGGGCTGGGCTGACCACGCGGACCGTTTGCTCTCAAAGGGGGGGCTGTTTGTTTGGAAAGCAGGTTTGATTTGCGCTTTTTACGTGGATTGCACCTGTTCTTCGCCCTGCAGTTTCTTTTTGTACTCTTTTAGTACTCTTTCAATATTGTAAAGCCACATCCAAACCGTTTTCTAGAGTTTGGTTTCTGAAGCAGCCCTTGGCCTGAGAAAGTATATAAGGCACAAGCCACAAACTTGTGTCGCATCTTGCAAGGAGCAGGCTGCGCCATGGATGGGGCAAGCGCTTGTACCGACTGCTTCCCTGGCTACGACCTGCACAACCAGATTTGCAAACAGAGGCAGGGGTGTGTTGCATCAGTCAAGGAACTTTCCAAACAATCAGTATGGGCTATGGTTGAATGCTTGGACGCTTGGATTGTTGGTTGGCCGGCTGCTTGCTTGCTTGCTTGCTTGCCGGCTGGCTGGCTGGCTGGCCTGCTTGCCTGCTTGCCTGCTTGCCTGCTTGCTTGCTTCCTTGCTTCCTTGCTTCCTTGCTTCCTTGCTTCCCTGCTTCCTTGCTTCCCTGCTGCCTTGCTTCCTTGCTTCCTTGCTTCCTTGCTTCCTTGGTTGGTTGGTTGGTTTGGTTGCATGTGTCAAGACTGGACATGCCATAAATGAATGCACACACTGTATATATATATATATACACATACACGAAAACGTATGTGGTGGGTTCAATGTATTGGGCATGTTCGCTCAGTTGGAATCCGTTGCAGTCCACATGTTGGAAAGTTTACGTTGCCGGGAGCGTGCCTCTCTTGGCACTTTGCCCATAAGCTTCGCAGAATCGCATCGTTCCTGCCACATACTGTTCCCTTTTCCCTTCCCCCCCCCTGGATTCCTGATGTCCCCTTCTTTTCGTTCTGCGATGTGTGGATCCGGCCATGAGGCAATGTAGCTGTGATCATGGTCTGCCGAGCGTGGGCGAGAACTGCTCCCACCCGGGCTCTCCAAGCTGCACCGTGTGCTTCGAGGGCTTTCACATGGCGCAGCAGGCGGACCCCACTGGGCAGCCGAAGCACTGGTTATGCTTCGCGCGAGAAATCGGATGAGCTAAGATTGAACAAGACCCTGGTCGGTTGTTTTTGTGTTGTTTCTTTTCTTTCTCTTAACGTAGGTGTTGTTTTTTCTCAAACAAAAGCTCAGAAAGAGGGCAACGTTGCACATTGAGTAGCAGACGTGCTTTCGTCTTCTTGGACTGCAAATCGCCAGGTGTGCAAGGAGAAGGTCTGTCACTGCCTGGGTCTCAGAGAAGTCGCCGCAGAAGCGAACAAATGGGATGCAAGAAGCCAAATTGTGACGTGAAATCTGGCTGGCACTCAACTTTTCCAACAATCCAGAAGACAAACGTTGACTGCCGGAACGGGGCGCCCCCTATAATGGGATGTACTGGAAGTTCCAGAAGAGAAAGGTTGACTGCCGGATAAACCCGCGCCCCCTATAATAGATTGGACGTAATAGGTTGGACGGGAAGCTCTCGGGAGGAAGGTTGCGTCGTAGCTTCAATCGCGGAGTGTCGCTGCATCCCCACAATGTTGACCCCATATTCATCCCCAGTTAGTCAACTGGGGTGGATAAAATACAGAGGTCAACAGTGGGGGCAGCTGAGCACCCCCCCCTCCCCTCCCCGGATGTGCCCAGGCCCGCACGGGACCGGTGCCAGGGGCAGCCAGTGTCCCATGCAGAACGGTACCAGCTGCACCGCGTGCCACGCAGGTGGCCTCGGCTGCAGCTTTGGCGTTTTGGCGTTTTGACGTTTGGCTTGCCTAGGCCTTTCTTTTCTGCTGAGGCGATTCCTCTTTGTGTGCCCAGCGTTTCAGAATTGTGGGTATTTTGTATGCCCTGAAAACATGGGGTCTTGGTATTGGGAGTGCTATGGTAAGAGGGCCTGCAGCACAATTGTGTGGTCAGAACAGAAGGCCTTTGTGACTCGTCAAGGCGTCTTGCTAAGGATTCCACCTGCTGGGAGACAGCTGTGTTCCGAATCAGTGCAACTGCAGCGGCGGAATCCCTGCGAATGGAACAGGCCAGGCTGCATGCAGCTGAGTGCTTGAGTTGTGTATATATTTTGTTGTGCACAAATTTGTTGGGATGGGAGGTGTTTTTTTTTGGCGAAAGATGGCGAAATGCAGGAAAAGTGGAGCCTTAACAGCCCGTCAAGCATGTTTGGTCGAGTGTTTGAGACACCTAGCGGCAGAGAGAGAGAGAGAGAGATAGAGAGAGAGAGATAGAGAGAGAGAGAGATAGAGAGAGAGAGAGATAAATAGAGAGAGAGAGAGAGGGATAGAGAGCAACACCGGGCAGCGCAGGTTGCAGGCAAGACGGGCTGCAGCATCTTGGCAAAACTGGTCACAAGCTTGCAGTTGATTTGCCACGTGTGCCCACATGAGGAGCAAGCAAGCACGGGGCTGTGACGTGAACATGCAGAGGGCGTGGTTTTTGGTGTTGAGATGGTTGAAGGGGCATGCTTGCTTCAAGTTGGTTGGGACATCCACTGAATCCACGGATGTTGCCGTGGGCTTGATTCCGAGGTCCTGTGCTTCTTGTCACTCGGGTTTTTTCCTCATGGACGGCATTTGCGAGGCGTCGGCATGGGCTTTTCAAAAAAAACACAGGCGTGCCACCGCGCTCCCGGCACGAAGGGCTGCTCAAGCTGACAAGACAGGGCAGAAGTCACGCTTGGTTAGCCCTCTCTTTCCTTGGTGGCTCCCAGCCATGCCCTTCGCTTTTTAGCCTTTGATTGTTTAGTGGGGGTTTCCATTTAACCCACTAATAGTTTTTGACTTTTAGCAGGGGATCTGAACACGGGCAGCCCAGTTTCCAGTCTAGTGCTGTAAGAGTTTCGCTCTTTGTGTCCCTTCAAATGGCCCCGGAGAACAACCAAGCGACACCCAAGGCAAATGTCGACACATTCCCGACGCCTCTCAAGCTCGAAGGCAGCGTGAGGAAGAGGGCAATGCCCTAGGACCCCGCAAATATCGCTTGAATCGTTTGGGTATGGGTCAGAATTAAGCCAGGGACCGCAGGGTTTGAGACTTTGCAAGCTTCTGTTTACAAGGGTTCTATGTTGGATGCTTGTTTTTGACCCACATTTTGTCTCTAGCTCAAATGAGCGGAAGGCGGCACATGCCCACGGGCCTTGCTAGTAGCGCCAAGCCCCTGGGCCAAAGAAAAAAAACCGCAGCGGAAGCAATCAACATCTCAATTATCATCAAATCCCCTCTCAGTCATGATTGTTGTTGGGAAATATGTTACATTTCTGCTTATTGTGGTTTAGTGGGAAATCCGCACTTACCTTCTAAAATTTCTTTTTTTGCTCCCCTTCCAACGTCAACCCATGCAGTTCAGTCTATGGCCCAATTTATAAGAATAAATCACTCAAGTTCCGATTCAAAGCCAACAGCCCCTGAACCCCTGGAACCCTCGATCCTTCGCCGATCGATCTCTGACCTCGCACAGGCGCGGCAGTGCAGCTGCGCCAACGGGGTGCCGCAGACTGGGAGCAACTGCAGCTCGGCCTTCAAAGGCTCCGAAGCCGATCCGGCGAAGGCGAAGCAAAGGCCCCCCAGGCCTGTGCTTGCTTGGTGTCCGGTCACTGGTTGAACAGGTTTGGGCCTGAAACTAATTTTTGGGGGTTCAACCATTTCCTCAGGGCTTGTTTAGGGACACGTATGCTCCCAAGTATTGCCGCGTTAGATGTTTGTCAGGATCCAGGATTGGGGGGGGTGGCCTTTTGTCAAGCGGCGGTTCATCTTTTGCAACATGCTGTGGGATGAAATGCGGATTTTGGGCCTTCTTCGCGGCTTGGCGTCGCCTTTGGCATGTGGGTTCTAGAATTTGAGCCGGTTTGGATGATTGTGTTGATGACAAGGGCAGCGAACTTACACTGGCATTGTCAAGTGTAGCCCGTGTGATACCGAAAATTGCGAAGAAGCAATTGCATGCAGCATATGCTAGTTTTCACCTGTCAAGGATGTTTGGCCGGTTTCTTCACCAGTTGAAGAGTTAGGTTCCTTGTTCAGCTTGTCCTTGCGTAGCCTCCGTCTTGGCGGCTTTGGACAGAGTTGGCCCTCATGGCAGGGCCACTTGATCCACTTCCTCTGGAGGTGTGCTCATGTCTGTCCGTACTTTGGTTTCATTCCATTGGGCGCTTTGACGATGCCCTCAGGTACTGCCGGTACGGAGAACTGCTCAGTGTGCGCTTTGGCCGCACGCTGGATGCGCTGTTTCCTGAAAGCAGTGGGACACAAGTTTGCCTGAGGTGTGCTCTAGCGGGGAACCAGGATTTCGCAGCGTTGAGTGGCGAGGTACAACTCCAAAAGTCAAGAACCCTACTTGATGGCTATTTGATTGGATCTTTGGACTTTAACTTGTCCGGAAACTGTGGGTTTTCCATTGGACCCACAAAAAGATACGCTTTTTGCGGACGGGTCAACAGCAACCAAGCCTTCTCAAAGCTGCAGCAAGACATGCAGTGCCAGTCTTCGGTTGGAAACCTCTAAGCATCGATTCGCTTTGCACGCACATGTGACGCGCAGTCCGCATCAATTCAGACTGTTTGGCAAGTGCGGTTAATGCGGTCAAGAGTTGGTTCGCCTCAAGGGGTGCGCAGCAGCAGCAGCAGCAGCAGCTGCAGCAGCAGCAGCAGCAGCCTCAGCAGCGGCGGAAACAAAAAACAGCAGCAACAACTTGACTGTATACAACAATACGCTCTTTTCGCGGTCTATCACGGCGCTGCGCGAGCTGAAAGGCACACCCCCTTCTAGTGAACATGCACCAAGTTAGAGTTCTGCTGGCTTTGGCTTTAGCCTCAAGGTCTTGCGTGACCGGGACTTTTAGCAATGCCAACATGTCGCATTTGTATGAGAACCGATGGGACGGAGCAGTTCTACCCTTGTCGCTGTACGGCCCCGGTGCACCGCTTATGTTTGGATTCTTGGAGAACTTCCGGAGTGAACCCAGCCAATTTGACGCGCTGCGAAGTCTGTTGTTACCACTATCGCATGGGTGAAATGGAGCGTCCGGTGACGTCCTGCGCCGTTCATTGGATCTTCTACAGTGTCGCCTTTTGTTGCTATGGTCTACTTTTCTTTGGCCTGGCAGCAGCTTTCGGTTACCTGATTCGAAGCACGGAGATCTTGAACGTCGTGGACTGGGGCAGACTCACCTTCATCAAGCCAGAGACCATTGGGGGCTTTATTTTCTTTGGCTTTTGGTTCAACTTCTTTCTGATTCTTGGCGGCCATCCCGATAGCTGGGTATGGCTCAAAATTACCGAGCTACGGTTACGCAGGCTTTAGTCTTTGGTTCGTGCTATTTTGGTACCACTTTTTTGAGCCACAGCCAGCTTGTTAGGCTGCTAGGGTTTAGTGGTAGTTCCATTTCACCCACCCAAAGTGAAACTTTTCGCCGGGGATCTGAGGGCAGCCCAGGATTGGTGTCATCTCCACTATTTACCTATTCTTCCTGTGGCTGACGGGACGACTGCAGCAGCGTATCAATCTCGCACGGCGGCCTGGTAGTTGGGTCACGGATGCAAAGGCCCATCGACGCAGGGGGGACTGTTGCAGGGAATGCTGTTACGGCTGCAATGTCAACAACCATGCCGCGAATGATTGCTGTTTTTGGTGCTGCTTTTGGGGCCGTCCCTGCGATGCCTGTTGTGGGCTTTGTGATGCTGGTTGCCGCTGTTGCGAATGCGATTGTAGTCACGGCAAAGTGCAAGACTGCTGCGACTGCAAGGGCTGCAAATGCGATTGCGGTGATGATCTCGGAGGCTTGGCGGCTCTCCTGGTCTTTGTGGCCGGTTGCCTCCTTGTTCTGGGAGCACTTCTGATGCTCTGGTTGGTGCTGATCAATGCGATGTGTGGCATCTACCTCCATCAGCTCTATGTCAGAGAGCGGATTGCCCGCAAGTGGCCGGTCCAAGCCTACGATCCCGCGCTGGACGAGGCAAAAGCTGACGAGGCAAAAGCTGAGGACGTAGCTGAGGGGCAGCCTGAGGCGCCTTCCCACGCTGCCTTGCCGGGACAAGTGCACATGACCGAAGCATGAGGGGGCATACATGTTTAACCTCACTTCCTGAGTTCATGAACTTGAAACTTTTTTTGGGACCATTTTAGGGCTTTTAAATATAAAGCTCGGACTTTTTTTGGGCCATCCGCTCGGCCAGTGAGTAATTTGTCCGACATCCACTTGCCAGGCTGAGGCTACCCTTTGCCTGTTGAATGAACGAGAGACGCCCATATATTTCGATGGCGCAGGCCCTAGTGCTTCGGACTCCGTGTGCTGGAACTGCACAAGTTCGCCTTGCTTCCGAAGGAAGGGGCGGTCAGAATTCAGAAGATGATAGCGCTGAAGATTTGCGTAGACTCTGCTGCGGAAAGAATGGTACGGGTTTTGCATCTACCACTGGAGATCTCACTTCCAGGGTTCATGGACTTTTAGGGAAGACCGTTTTAGTGGCTCACAAGAAGTTCGTGCTTTTTGTTGGCCAACCCACTCATGAAGTGAAAGATTCCTTGCATTGCCTTGAAAATGAGCAGGCCCCCCAGAGATTCAATTGGCTCGTGAGTTGAGAAGCTGACATGGGCAAGTGCTTTTGTTCCAAACGGCTCGTTTCCACCGCGTACCCAGCGGTCACAGATCTTGCTGTTACCTCTTCTAGACCACGGTTTCTCGAGGGGTACCTTCCTCATTCTTTCCAGGGATCCTTCTTTCCAAAAAACCACAGAAAACCCTGGGGAAATGGATCTGGTGTTTGAACAGAACGATGGTTCAAACGAATGGACAAGGGATCAATCAACCCCCGGAGACTTCTGCCCGCTCCGCTTCTCGTTTTTTGTCCTTCAACAAGCAGCGCCGAGGCTTTGAGGGCCATCACCTGATCGGCACCAGCTGCGTGGAGAAGACCTGCGTCTGCCAAAACGGCACAGCGGCAAGGGGGTCCCGGTGCCCGGAGCATGGCAGCACCTTTGGCCCAGAAAAATCGAGGGATCCCTCAAACGAGCCGACGCGGGGATATGTGTTTTTTTTTGGTTGGTGTTTGTTGTCCTGGGTTTGGCCCATGGGTTGGCTTTCCAGGTATCCCATAAACCCGCCAAAAGGTGTGGGAAAAGACACCGTGGCAACAGGCTTCAGCTCGGCTACCGCAGGAGGAGTTTTGCAGTGGACCCTTTTTGTCACCCTTTGTGCTTGCTTTTGTCTTGGGCACGAAGCGGACCTAAGAGGACGGTCAAGCAACCAAGACACAAAAGCAACAACCACGTGCAATCAAACGTGGGCGTGTGGATTTGTTGAACTATACCCTTTTTGGCGGGGGGGGGGGGGGGGAATGGGGGGGCCCGCAAAAAAGTGAAAGCCAAAAAAGGCCCACCCAAAACTCAAAAAACTCAAACAACTGGGGCGCAAAAAATGAAAGCCAAAGGGGCCCACCCAAAACCCAAAACTCAAAAAACTCAAAAAGCTCAGGCGCCTTCTCGGCCCACCAAAATCAAGACTCAGGCGCCTTCTGTGTGAACTGCTCCTGGGGCCACTATTTGTACGGTGACTTGTGCCTGGAGAACCAGTGCGCCTGCTCGAATGGCCGCGGCGTCAGGGGGTTGGGCTGCTCGGCTGGATGTGAAGCATGGCTCAGCTTGCGGGCTTCCAAGACTCAGTCCCTAAATTTCCCGAATTGGTGGTAGACAACATCAGCTTTTTGGCTCATGAAAGGTGAGTAGCAGTTGGTGGGGGTGATGTTTTAAGGGGACCAACTTTGGCTTGCAAGAAAAACCGGGAACCACCCCCGTGCATTTGGTTGAACTTTTTGCTTTCCTGGGTCTCCGAAACCAAAAGGTTCATCTCTGGGCACCAAAACACCCAAGTTTCATGCCCTATGGCTGGCTGGCAAGAATAGGTCCCCCAGTGCCCGACCTCTCACCCGTTTCTTTTTCGGGGGGAGGGTTCCCCTACTAACACTTCCCCAGAATTAGCTCCCCGTTTTGTTTTTCGCTTTTTTGGGGTCCCTTTGTTTTCCACTAACCAGGCAAACAAGATATTTTTTGCTGGGGTCCTAATTCCAGCCAAGAAAATAGACAGAAAAAGGTACCCTTACTCTAACCTCCCTACTGGAGGACCTAGCTTTAAAAAAGAAAAGGAACCACCGTGCATTTTGTTGATGCGTGCCTTGGGTCTCCGAAACCAAGAAGTTCATCTCTGGGTTTGGCACCAAAGCGACCCAAGTGCAATACCCTGCGGCTCTTCCGGAAAAACTGCATGGATGTTGTCTACGCCCGTGTTTGGGCACGACAGGGTACCCTTCAGCAGTATCCAACTGTGCAAGGCCACGCTGCCCTATCACAGTGCCCTATCCGAGAATATCCGAGAATTAGCCAAGGTTGCACTACTTCATTTGCTGATGCACGAAGAAAGAGCGTGTGACATCCATTTGGATCAACACTTGGATCCTTAGAAAAGGTGCCAACGTGTTGGGACCTGAAGTGGTCAACACATAGCAGGGTACCGGCTCAAACACGCGCCCACACCCCTTCAGCTTGATGTTGGGGATGTGTTGGGCAAATTGACTGACACCTCTGGAAACAAAGGAAGCACACAGGTTCCAACCTTGAAGCGCAACTGTCATGGCACGGAGATGCTCAAAACAAAGGCGATGCTGGGGATGCTGGGGATGGGTCTCATGCCAAAACTGGGCAGACACTGGTTTCTGTGAATGATAGCGACCTCACACGACCTCACCCAAATGGTGGTTTATGTGGGGAATATCGTCGAGCCTTTGCGGGGGATGCATTTGAGAAGCTGCACCCACGGCGAGCAAACCGCAGCCGTCGCAGCCGATGCCAAGCTGGACGGCAGGGTTGTGATCACGCAGATCTCTTCACTTGACGACATTTGGGTATGGGTCAAAATTAAACCACCAGGAATTGGACCGCCGGTTTGGTCCATGTGTCCATTTACCAGGGCAAGCCATTTTGGGGGTTACCCTATTTTGGACCAGCCAAATCAAATCCGGACAGATGGTAGGATTCCAGCTGCCCGATGCGCAGAAGCACCAAACATCTACGTAACCAAGTAGCGCCGACCACATGGCTGTTTTTACTCCACATGCGTGCTGGATTGAGTCCAGTTTGCAACGTTGGAACGTTTATGCTGGTACACGTTGATACAGACATCGGCTGGTGTAGGCCTGTTGGTTCTGCTTGTTGCCTTGGCAATTTGCAGCCCCTGTGCAGTTTCAAATTCGGGAAGATGCACAAGCAGTCTTCTGGCCGCTTGTATTTGCCCTTGGTCGTACCAGGCCATATGTCCACCCAAGACTGCAGACCCGTGATCCTTGCTGTACTTTGCCGATGCGTTTGCAACCCGTACTGTCGGCAACTCGGTTTTCGAGCGTAGAGAAAAGTCAATTTGTTTTGACATCGGAGATGCTGCAACCTTCTCAGGGAGAGCCGATTGTTGGGACCAAGTTGACAACGAAGCCGAGGCTGTCCCCGCCATGGGGCGGATGTTTGTGGCTCCTGCCATCACGGCTTTGAGCTGGCGCACGGCTGGTGTGTCTTGGCGTTCGGTTTGCACGCCTGAGAATGGCGCCATTTCGAGCTTCGGCCTTGTTTTGGTCCATTGCTAGTCAGGACAGGGTAAATCAGGTTGCCGTTATTTGGTGGCTTGGATTCGGCTTTGAACCCCTGTGGGATTTGCCTCCCCAAGCCACAGAGTAAGCCTTCAGTTGCTCTCCCCCTCAACCGAGCCGAGAATGAGCACTTAGGCTTCGAGAAGCAGTGCAGCTGTGAGAACGGTATCTCGGCCGATGGCTTTCGTCTGACCTACGCCCTGGACAGTCTCCCCATGGCCAGCTAGTCAGGTGTGTCCAATTAGGGCATGCAAGACTCAATCGCCCAAAGCGGAACGACCTGTTGGCTTGTTGGTTTTTGTGCGTGTTGGGCCATCTTTGGGCAAGCTGGGATTCCAGAACCCTCAGAGGGACAAAGTCGGGAGGAGTTGAGATGGTCCGAGGCATTGGGACGCTGGGGGTGAACTGCTCTCAGAGTGGGGAGTCCAACTGCTCCAGGCAGGTCTGGCTCGGAAGGTTCAACAGCTATTTGATGGGCAGCAGTTTGCTTCTTTTTGCATTTGCAAGTGGGTTGCTGTTTGTCAAAGCCACGGATCCATAGATTGGAAGAGAGAGATATCAGATAAGAATGAATGGATAGATCGATCTGCACGTTCGTAGAGAAGACCATGGTTGTGGGAGGCAGCAGGCACATTCAGCAAGTCTGATTCAGCAGGTGTTTTGACGGCTACCAGCTGGAGGGCAAGCAATGTGTGGCCAAGGAATGCCTCCCGTCGGCAAGTAGACCAGGACTTTCCACATTTGTTCCCCAAACCACTCGCAGTACCCTCAGTTGTTCAAAGCCGACCTTTTGACCTTTTGGTTTTCCAATTGTTGGCCCATATTTAGTCATGGCCACAAAAGGTTAACCTTTTAGTTCCAGGTCCTTTGGGCAACTGAGTACCCGTGTGTTGGTTTAGGGTGAAGTTCTGAAGTGGCCCTTCCCCACAACGAGTTGGGCGTGTCCGATGGCCTCCACCAAGTAGTCATTGAGTCTTTGAGATAGTAGTTCCTTCGTGCAGGCTTAGCGTTGGTGTTGCATAGGTTTCAGTTTGCTGCACAGTTTGCTTTACTCATGGAGCCGCAATTCTTCGCAAAAGCTCAGTATTGGCTTAGAATTGCTTCAGACACAAATGTTCAATCCAGCCATGTCAAGTGCCAAGTGACGCGCGCAACTGCGTAAGTGACCCGGGATCAATTCATGGGAGGCTCATCAGTAAACCAGCGGTGGCTCTTCAACCGTCGAGACATTGGCCGGAGATGAGGAGCTTGGGAGTCAAAGGGCTTGAGCCCGCGCGAGGGCGTTCGCAGACGCGTGTGCCAAAAATAGTCCCATCATGCTTGCCATTTCCTGCGCGCATGGGAAGGCAACGAGCCTGGGCAAGCATTTGCTTGCAAGAAGCCAATCTCCCTGCGTTTGGTTGCGGTCGGTGGCGTTCGTTGGTATTTCAATGGCTCACTTTTACAGGAAACATATCCTTGCTTCCTCATTTTTCAGGCAGCTTTTGCATTGGCGCGTTGGATTGCAGGGTTGCTTTTCAGATTTGCTTGTCAGCATTCTCCCATTTGCTGGGGTAGTCCGCAAAGCGGCATTAGGCCAATGCGGCAACGGAACTGCGGCCTTGGGGCCTGACTGCCCAGCATGGGGGATGGAGCACTGCGTCAGCTGCAAGCATGGTCAAGGCCTCAGTGCGGTAGTCAGCCTTGGCGGGGCTTCTTCTTTTCTTGTTGGCGGGGGGGAGGTGATCCATTAGATGAAGGACATGGTTCAAAATCCATGATGGGTTTGGGCTTCGGCCTTCAGGCTCATGTTCCTCCCAGTTTGGAGGGTGTCCCAGGTTTCGAGCTCAACGGCACCAAATGCCAAGTGAGCACTTGCCATTGTGCCAATGGCAAGCCAGCCACCGGCGCAAGATGTGTCAACGGAACTTCGCCGCTGGGCCGGAGCTTGGATGTGTCATCTCTTGGTGGTTCCCGGCCATCCGGGTCCTTTTTGTTTTTGGGGGGGGTGTTGGTTGGTGTTGTGATTGGGTGTCCATTTTTTAGCCTTGTAGTTGGTTTCGTGGTAGTTTCCCTTTGCCCCGCAAGTTACCCTTTTCGCAGGGGATCTGAGGACAGCCCAGGAGAATGAGGGGGGCTTTGACGTACACATCCCGCAATGACAGCAGTTCCAGCAAATCGATTTTAGCCTGGGTGACTACCTAGCCTAGTTTGTTTTATATACGGTGGATGGACGAAATCCTGCATTACCTACAAAACCCGGGAACCATGGTTTCAAAGTGGTGCGAAATGGATTTCGTCCATCCACAGTAGTGGCTTTTGACGGGCCATGGGCTGAAGCCAAGGTACTGCGCAACTTGTCAGCGCCGAACTTAGTTGCCAGAGCGTTACCGCTTTGAGTGGCTGTATGCACATACACATCCACATCTTGCCCGGCCCTGACACAACAAATTGGGCGGGCTAGATAGACCGCCATTACCGGACAAAAAGCAAGGGAAAGAGACACACACATCACCACACCACACGCCGCACATACCACACAGCACACACCATACACGGCATGCACAGCACGCACCACAGTCAACACCACATACTTCACGGCACATACCACGCTCGTCACACCCGACACTTTGACAGCACACGCGCACACACACACACACCCTCGCGCGCGCACGCACCCACACAAGCACGCACCCACACAAGCACGCACCCACACAAGCACGCACCCACACACACGCATCCACGCGCGCGCATCCACACACACACACACAACACACACACACACACACACACACACACACGCACACGCACACGCACACGCACACGCACACGCCCACGCCCACGCGCACGCGCACGCGCACGCACACGCGCACGCGCACGCGCACGCACGCCCACCCACCCACACACACACACACACACACACTCCGCGCGCGCGCATACCCACACACACACACACACCCACGCACACCCACGCACACCCACACACACCCACGCACACCCACGCACACCTGCACACGCGCACGAAACCCGCACCCTCACCCGCACCCACACGCACGCACGCATGCCCGCCCGCACGCACGCACGCAATCACGCCCACACCCACACACACACACACACACACAGACACACACACACACACACCGACTTGCACGCACAAGCACACCACACAAGCACAAAATCACAGACACGCGCACGCAGACACACACACACAAGCACACACACACACACACACACACACACACACACACACACACACACACACACACACACACTTCTTACCCACACGCAACCGCAAACACACACACACACACACACACACACATGCGTCAGCTGTCCACACATGGCGTCACTCATGTCCGGTGTCAGAAGTTAATCAAGAACAAACAGCAACACGGCAGCATCACAAAGGGTCGAAAAATGGGAGTACGTAACAAGCGCGTCCTCCTGCCATATCGTTGGACCAGGCCAAGTAAAACATCCCTTGTCCCCCAGACACGAAACGGCCCTAAGCTGGGTGTCCAGGGGCGACAACCCGAAACAAAGCAGACCCGGGGCAATCGGGCGGCCCCCCACTTCCACCTGAGCGGCGGTTTTTGAAGCCACAAGCCAATTTAGCAGAGAGAGGGACATTATGGTTGAAAATGTGCACCACGCCACACGCGCGGAAGCAGCGGCAGGTTTGCGGAAGGGATTCTTTTGCGGAAGGTTTGCGGAAGCTTTGTGGTTTGATACGGGCTGTTTCACTTCGCGTGCGTTTGCAAAAGCACGTCGAAATCTGTTGTATTGCGTTGCCAGCTGCCGTTTTCAAGTTTAAGAGTGAAGCTTCCAAGAAGTTGGGGCAGACCATTTGAGTACCAATTTTCTACGCAGCTTTTGCAATCCTTTTGGCGCCAACACTTGCAGAAGCAACACTTCTACTAACTTTCACGGCCCTTTCTGCGCCAACACTCGCGAAAGCAAATCTTGTGAAACACGTGCCGCGGGGCGGAGGGTTTGTGGAAGGAAACGATGAAGAACATACACCGCGGAGGTTCGCAGAGTGGCAAGGATGCGGAAGGGTTCGCAGAAGCTTGAAAAATGTCCCAACGCTCACCTCAGGAGCTGGCAGCGGAAAAATGGGCGTGGACCCCATAATCATTCATTTGACAAGCTAGCAGGGAGAGAAGGCCGGTGAGATGCACACTTCGAGATTTGAAGCTGCGAAGGCTAAGATGCAGCCGAAACTGGGGTCGGAGATACACCACCGCAATGACCACTCATATCATGCAAGACTTGGAGCTTCGCTGGACCAGGCCCAGTCAAGCATCCCTGGCCCCCAGACACAGCGCACGGCAGCCTCCTCGCCACCCCCCCCCCTCCGAGTCACGCCCAAACCCCCACACCCCACACCTCCGCACACACACACACGCTGAAAAACATGTCACACTCTCACGTCTCATGCTGCTCTTAGCAGCTGCAGCACCACCACTTCAACCAGTGGTTGCAGATCTTCCGACCTCCCCCCGACAGACGAGAGTTTTCTGGGTCTTTCCTGACATGCCATCACCCAGTACGGGTTTCCATCTCTACAACGGCAGCTGCTTCGAGAACCAGTGCACGTGTCCGAATGGCTCCTTGACGGCACGGCAAAATTTTATGGGTGAGGGCACGCTGTCCCAGTCAGATTCTGCAACCAGGGCTCCCGGCCATTGACAAAACCAAATGGCTGGGATAACCTGGATCTGGTTTTCTGGGATGTCGTACCATGCGGCCTTTTTCGTTTCCTGGTAATGCCCAGTGCTCGAGATGCAGGTGGAATTTCGTTGCTTTGCCAAGGTGTTTTCCCTTCAAAGGAGGGATTCACGGGGCTGAATATGGCTTGGCAAGCCGATCCAACTTCTTCCATTTGCTTAAAAAATATATTTGTTCTCCTGTCGGTTTTGAAGGGAATCTATCACCACTGGAAATAATGTGTTATTATTATTATTATTGTTATTATTATTTTTATTATATTTTTTTCCAGGGGTCTTAACCAAATGGAGCACTTGAGGTGAAGCTGCTGCTGGTCTTCATTGCCCCTCCAATGGCACCAAGCATTGCGCGCGGTGCTTCGTGCCTTGGTGTTCGGCTGTTCGGCTGTTCGGCTGTTCGGCGCGGCGCACTGGACCGATGTCAACGAAGCCTCCCGCTTTCCTATGCGAGTGTGGGTCAAAATCTCACTTCCTGAGTTCATGAACTTTAGACTTTTTGGGAAGACCATTCTAGTGGACAACGTATAGTTTGGACTTTTTTGGGCCATCCACTCAGCCGGTGAGAAGTTAAACCAGCAGGGGACCGCAGATCTTGGTCCATGTTTGCACTTGCCAGGGTTCCAACCTATTTTTGGACCCACAGCCATGTTGTCTCAGCTTAGTCCGGGATTTTACACATGATGGCCTCGCAGGCCATGCGAAGATTTGCCACCTGAGGATGGCTACCACCTCGTAAATCGCACCTGCGCCGAGAAGAGGTGCACCTGTGTAAATGGCACCTTGGACGTGTCAAAATACTTGGGGCCATGTTGCGGCCCCAAGTTTCGCCAGATCGGGGATTCTTATCTTGACATTCAATTCTCGGCTTAGACTTTGGCTGCGTAAAGAAGCGAGGAACGTGTCGCTACCAGAGCATGCTTCAGGCGCAGGCTTGGCCAGATAGGGAATTCATGGGAGTTGGGTACAAAAAAGGTTTGTTTCGTGCCACTGTGTGCCACCATGTCCGACCATGTGCTATCGCAGTCATGCAGTTTGCCGTCCATGGTGTTTGTCAAGCTATGCAGTGTTTGGAAGTGGTGCGGGTGCGCGTAGCATACCATCTTTCCTCTTTCGGGGTAAGTTCATGGTGACACCACTGCGAGCCTGTGGTACTCTGTGACGGGGAGGGAGGTATTCGTTTGTGAAGCGGCGCAAACAACAGGCTTGAGTGCCAGAATGGGCTAGCGCAGCAGGCACCACACCTTGCAAGCATGTACAACAGCAGAGGCACTGTGATCAAGCGCTTTGACAAGGTTGGCTTTTGCCAACCTGGAGCTTTAAAGAAAGACCGTATGATGCATGCAAGCATATCTCTCTCATGTTTTGCAGGGTGTAGTGGGGTGTTGTTCAGCTTCATCTCTCGCTTTCTTGTTTTTTTTTTTTTTTGCGCTGTCGCTCCCAAAGGTACCGCGGCGCGTGGAGAGCTGTGTCCCCTGGACGGCATTGCTTGGTGCAGCGATTGTGCCGGCGGCTACCGCCTGCTCAATGGCACCGGGACTCGGGGACTCGGGGACTCGGGAGGGAGACTGGAACTCAGAGAACCGTTGGAAAGTGTCCATTTCGTTTCTGAGTGCGGATGGGCCTTCTTCGCCACAGCCCACACACACATATTCCCATAGCGCTATCCACCGGCGGCGTTGGTGTGTTTTTCGGCGCGCAAAAGAGCGCCGCAGGATTTGCTCCTTGCTGGTGAACGAGGAGGCCTTAAGCTGAAGGCATCCGCGGAACGACGCTCGTACCTCTTGCGTGCGGAAAAGCGCTGGCAGCGCTGGCGTCAGTTTATGCCATGCTTTGGCGTCTGGAAAGTCTCTTCGTTAGCTGAACTGAACTTATTTGTTCACAGGAAGGTTTGCTCTTCATTTAATCCAACTGATGGAAAAAACCACTACTCATGTGTGGCAGTCACATGGTGTTTTTTCTGTGGTTTGCTTTGTTTCCCGAGTCCTTGAGCCCAAGAACTGGATACGCTGAGTCTGATGGACTCACAGCCAGAAAAAATCGTCGTTTGTCATAACTGAGGTAGACAAATGGCCGTGGGTCAACACCAATGGTACCATTTTAGGGCAGGTGGATTTCGGGATTTTGATCCATGCCCAAATTTGGTCTTCACCATGAGCCAATCCTTTGTCTCAGTTGTCTAAAGCCGACCTTTTGACCTTGTGGTTTTCCCATTTTGGTCCATATATAGTAGAGGTGCCAAAAGGTAGGTGCCAAAAGGTTAGCCTTTTAGTTCTGGGTCCTTTGGGCAACTGAGTTGTAGCTAAGTCGGCTTCCATGCAGGTCTGCTTGAAACACCACACACAAGCACACCTACAACGCATACTGCATAATGCTTACGAACTGTCACGTTGCACACCTGAGAAAAACAGACATCATGGGACGGGAAAGTTGGGCTATCGCCCTGGCTTTGCTGGGATTTTAGGTTGCCCCCACATCCTCACCAAACCAAAAGTAGACTACCGCGATATGTGTCAGTTTCTCAGATGCTCCGGACTTGTCGCTGTGCTGAGGTGAGAATAAGAGAGAGATGACGCCGCGCGGGGATCTTGTTGCAAGGCCTTTCAAGAAGTTCTCACACGGGGTTTGCATCCTGACATGCTGCTCCAGACTAAGTCGGTGTGGGTCAAAAATTGGTACCCAAAATGGAACGATGGAAACACAAATTAAAACCTGCGATCCATATCCTGGTGATTTAACTTGACCCATACCCAAGTCTGTTGCACGCCGGGCCTTTTTAGGCTGAGCTTTTATCATAAGGGAGCGGGTCATCCCGCCATCTCTGCCAAGAAGGCGAGAAGGATAGTAGACGTTCGGTCGACGCCAGATGCACGAAGCCCTTCAACAAATAGCATGTGACCCTCCTCCGCTGCAAATCGCGGCAACAATGAATGCAGGTCCAACTTCTGGAACTGCCAAGCATGGCATCCATTGCCAATAACATTACCAGTACACTGGCACTATTTCTGTGAACACCACGGCTGTTCCACTCTAATATTCAATGCCTCAGTTGCATAAAGCCGACACTGACCCTGGTTGGCGTATGCCCTCCGCTGAAGTCCAATTGCCGAGATCTCAAACTCTGACAGGACACAGTGCACCATTGCGGGTTCCGTTGGATTGCTCCGCTCTGGCCATGTGGCACCATAGGCCTCCCCCAACCTTTGAAGGCTCACGGGCAGAGGCAGCGTCAACCTGGAATGGAATCCTCGGATTTGAATCTGAGCCAATGGCAAAAAAAGTGGTAAACAGTAGAGTCGTAGGTTCCAGGTGTCTTTCCCAGTGTTGGAATTGCGGCTGGTGGTGCGAGTGATGCACCTGACGTGGTGGTCAACATTGTTCACCGATTCATGTGCCGCCGCTGCTGTTTCTTACAACCGGCGCTGTCTGCCAAGACTTGGAACTATTTGGATTCACAAGCAGCAGAATCAGCGACAGAGTGGATTTCTATGTGGCGAGCCAATCATTCACGGAGCGTCGCTTTGTCACTTGCAGCTTTAAACCAAAGCGACGGAGCAGTTTTACCGCCGTTGCTTCAAGGTATACATGGCCCAACCGGGATCTCAAGGCAAAGCGTGCTTTTCCGCACAGCCCCTTGTAGCATCGTAGCTGCGCTGATGCAGTGATTGCCTGGCATGGCCTCGACGCAGGATACAGACTCGACCGAAAGCTTCCTTTTGCAAGGAACAGCCTCCATTTTGAAAATAGTGTGTGTTTATGTTCCCCTGCTGTCTTTAAATGGGAATCTATCACTGTCGCTACTGGAATGGTTTTGGAATGGGACTCAAGCAATTGGAAGACACCACTCACTTGCCCAAAGCCGACCTTTTAACCTTTTGGTTTCTCTGATTTTAAATATGGAGGTCTCAAAAGGTTAGCCTTTTGTTTCCAGGTCCTTTGAGCAAGTGAGAACATAATTGGTTTTGGTGAGCCTAGGATGAGCCCATGCGTGTGATTGGGTGCTATATTTGGGTGAGCCCCCAAGGCAAAAGGATGCCGACCAAGGCTGGACGGCTTCCAGCAACCGAGTAGTTCGAAGGTTTTTTAGCAAGTGCATTGATCTCCATCTACGGTTCCCATGTCCCTTTATGAGGAATTTTGGAAAATCGAATTGGGGGACCTCCCCCTTAAGGTAAGGGGGATATCGCTTCCATTTGCTGCCATTTGGACACCTGCAATATGGTCGATACAATTTGCAGCATTCACTAGGTTGCCCAGTGGCAGGCCGGCAGTCAAAGATGACCATTTGCTTCAGAACATGTTATTTTCCCCTGTTGGTTTTAAAGGGAACCTACTGTGGATGAACGAACCCCATGATTCGAGTCCCCTGTAATTACCAACGGACATTGGTTCCCCATGGTTTCAAACTGGTGCAAGAATTTGTCCATCCGCAGTATCACTATGGCAACCTATCACTACTGTGGATGGACGAAATCCTGCACCATCTCAGCAACCCTATGATGCTTTTTCTATAAACTCCAACAACTGGTTTCCCGTCTTTTCCCGTGGTTTCGAAGCTGTGCACATGGTTTTTCATTTGTTTCCATGGGGCTTAAGCAAATGGAAGGAACTTCCCGCTAGGAGCCTTCCTGGCTGCGCGACACCCGGGTGAGCGCAAAGAAGGAGGGCCGGAACACGGTGGTAACATGCACAGTTGCCCAGAGCGAGTCGACCCTTTGATCTATTTTATGTTTTGTTTTTTGTATCGACCATTCGATTCAACCTTGCCCCAAGCGGGATTTTCTCTCAGGGGCAGCTGAGTATGGTTGTTGCTTGTTTGGTTGCGTGTCTTCCTTCTGGCTTTTGCTCAGTTGCCACCCCATTCGCCCTGTTTGATGGCTGGGAGGCCGCCTTGGCAGTATATGCACAATGTTCTTTTGGCAGTACATCAAGCAACCATGTCACGTAGAATGTCATTAGCAGAGGGCCTTCAGTTTTGTACGCAGCAATGTTCTTTTCTGATTTGCCCAACGCGTTTGCTTTGTAGCAAAGCCCAGCGCATCAGTGTTTGAAGGATTGGTTTGTTGCTTCATTTCTTTGATCGAGAGTTTGCTCAGCACATTTTGACAACATGTCTGCAGATGCCGACTGATTGAGACTTACTCAGCTGCTTCAAAATAGCAAGGTGCAGCATGGTTTGCTTCAGCATCTGAATTCTGCACCGAGGTTCTTGAATTGGAAGCACTTGCAGCAGCTTACTGTAGACAGGACCCGCTGAACTCATGCGCTGCATCCTGTGTCCAAAAATCCATGTCTGCCCATTTTATAGCGAGCTCGCTTGGGGGTGTAACGAGCTCACCATGAAGGTTCTGGATCCCTGAATTCAGGTTTTGGGATACTAAGATTTGCAGTGATCGTTCTGCGTCAGCCCACTTCCATTGGATCCATTTATGTCTCAAAATTAGGGACCGATTCCTTTCGATGTGGTTTTGGTCTTCATTTTCGCCTTGCAAGCTCCGGCGGGGGAGGCGGGTGGGCTGGGGGGGGAGCCCGGCTGAGGCGTTGCAGCGCGCCGGCCAAAGCGCCACTGCAAGACGCCGGGAGCCCAAGGCCTAGGCATCAGCGCAGATTCGAAGATTCAATTTTAAGCTTCCATGTGGTGAAATGAATTCGGGGGAGCAACTGAAATGAAGGCCCCAAATGCTGCCGGGTGTCACTGAATATTCCTGTGTTGGCTGAAATGAATATGTGTTTAAATTCTCCCATCTTTGTTTTCAAGGAAATCGATTCTTTATTTTTCCTAGGGGGCTTAAGCAAATGGAAGCGTGGGCGTCCTGAAATTTGGGCCGCCGGGAGAAGTGATTCACGAAGGAAGGGCAACAACAACGACGACGACGACAACAACAACAACAACAACAACAGCAGCAGCAACAACAACAACAACAACCACAAGAGCAAGCACAAGAACAATACCACAAACAGGAACACGAACAGGAACAGCAACAACAGCAATAACAGCAATAACAGCAATAACAGCAATAACAGCAAGAACAGCAAGAACAGCAATAACAGCAAGAACAGCAAGAACAGCAAGAACAGCAAGAACAGCAAGAACAGCAACAGCAGCAGCAACAGCAGCAACAACAACGACAACGACAACGACAACGACAACGACACCGACACCGACAACGACAACGACAACGACAACAACAACAACAACAACAACAACAACAACAACAACAACAACAACAACAACAACAAAAACAACACCACCAACACCAACACCAACACCAACACCAACAACAACAGTAACAAGAACAAGAACAAGAAGAACAAGAACAAGACCAGCAACAGCGACAGCGACAGCAGCAGCAGCAGCAGCAGCAGCAACAGCAGCAACAAGAGCAACAGCAACAGCAACAGCGACAACGACAACAATAACAACCATCACAACCATCACAACCATCACCACAACAACAACAACAACAACAAGCAGGACAACAACAACAAGCAGGACAACCACAACAAGCGCAACAACCGCGTCATTGTTGGAAACATCATATTCCGAAATTAGGCAGACCAACATCGGCGGCTCGGAAGCTGCAGAGCTGCAAACAAGTAGACTGGCTTGGCGCTGGCTGAATGAAGTTTTCTGCAAAAGGGAGCACAAATTCAACGCGACTTAATGCACTGAAGCTCAGGAACACATCCTTCGTCATGGGGCTGAACAGTGCTCATGTTCACCGATTACCAGTGGTTCACGCTCTCAAATGCCAAAATTAGGTTCGCACCTCTTTCCACTGTCCTGAACCAAG